AGTCAAACAAGATCATTTTTAAATAGCTATGGAATTTATCAAAGTAGAGGCTGATGATACAAGTTTTGGAAGACTGACGACGACATGAGTTAAAGGAAACATGAAAATGGGAAATAGTAAATATAATCACTTTTATTAAATTTTCCTACAACAGCCAACAAAGGAATAGCCGGGAGGGAAGGTATTTTAAGATTTTTCTTTAAAATGGGAGAAAGAGAAGCATGCTTGATTCAACGAAAATGAAAAACTGGTAATTTAGGAAGTAAAAAGAACTGCTAGCATAAAATTCTAAATAGTTAAGAAGGGATAGAGCTGATAGACAATGTGTCCATTGTTTACGCATTTAGATACAACATGGAAAAATAGGTATCAAGGTGGAATATATGAATATAAATGACAGATGATAGTGTACGCAGCAGATGCAGTCCTCGTTTGATTACTTCACTTTTCTCAGTGAAGTAACTCAAGTTAATAAGCTACCAAGTGTGGATGGTTTGGGAAGAGAATAGGTGATGAAAGAAAAGTGAAAGACCTCTCTAAAACCAAACTGAACAGTTCAATAGAACTAGAACAATGGTTCCAGATACCGATGACCATACTTGGCACACTGTAAGCTTCTGATGGACACAAGCCATTATATTTACCTATGGTTGTCTAGCACTCAAGAGAATGCCTGGCACATAGCAAGTCCTTAATAAATGCATGCTGAATCAATTAAATAAGCATACCATCCCCTTACTGAGCAAAATACTTATTTCTCCACCCAACTTGGCAACATAATTCATAATATGCTAAAGTGTCAATGAAAATTTTACTGGTTTAATTGAAAAATAAATGAAGAATTACCTTGACATTGATTTGAACAAAACAAAATAAAAGTTCATTAGAGAATCTCAGAACTGAAAAACTAAACCAGATCAACCCCTCACTTTACAGATGAGGAAAATGAAGCCAAGAGGCTAGCTCAAGGTCACTCAATCTACTATTCAAATAGCTTCAATCGAAGGTACCACAAATTCTACAGAGAGAAAAGTCAAAAATAAAAAAAAAACAAAACCAAAAAGCTTACTTTGCCATGTTTTTCCTTCATGGCATTACTTTGGTTGTCTGTTTCTGTCTTCTTGGTATCATCTTTTGGTTGGTCTGCCTTAGCTTTGTTTTCATCAGCAATTAAGTTTTTCTCAGTTGTACTACTTGAATTACATTCCCACTTCACAAACTTCTCTTCTACTATGCCCTTCAGCTGAAAGTCATCCATTCTTTTTGGGTCAAAGCCTTCAATCTATATAAAAAGGCATTCCAAATTGGTAGTGGAAAAATTATTTTGAAA